ATGAGAATTTAGCAAGAGAGGCTGTAGAGTCTAATCAAGATTCAATTAGGGGAGTCAAAGGGCCAACTGCCCTCCATCTCTTTATGCCAGACTTTTTAAAGGGGGCAGCCATAGATCCTATGCATCTCATATCAGGTGTGACTAAAAAACTGCTCAAGCTTCACTTCAGTTCAACGTGTTCTACGGAACCATTCTCATTGAGGGCAGTTCTGGCGGTTGCTGATCGTGAGTTATTAAAAATCAAACCACCTAAATTTATTCATAGAAAGGCCCAATCTTTGGAGGAGTACCATCGTTGGAAAGCATCACAACTTGATTTCTGGCTTAACTGTTACTCCATTCCAATTTACCAAAATATTATGCCTGCACGCTATTTTCATCACTATCTGAAGTTTGTTTCAGCAGTGTCACTTCTGAATGGTAACAAGGTGTCAGTACCACAAATTGACAAGGCTGAAAATCTTCTTAATGAGTTTGTCAGAGATTTTGAGGTTCTTTATGGTTTAAAATATGCCAGTATTAATATTCATCTCCTACTGCACTTACCAGACTGTGTCCGACGTTTGGGTCCTCTGTGGGTCTACTCATGCTACCCTATGGAGAATCTGAATGGGTTAATGCTTGCAAATATTCATGGGAAAACTTCGGTTGACTCTCAGGTATGCAATTCATTTTGGAAAGTGCTATGCCAAGAACGTTTACTGCATGAAATGCCTGATGGCCCAAAGAAAGAATTCATGACAAAGCGCAGGCGGTCAGTAAAAATTCAAGAGCAAATTGGTCCGGGTTGCTACAGTGTGGGAAATTATTCTGAAATTGGTGCTGATGATCAACATTTAATTGGTATCATTAGAGCAGTACACGCTGATGCAGAGAATTTGTCATTGTACTTCCGTCTCTTAAAAGACAGTATGATATATGCAGCAAAGCGGTATGAACGAGATCTTGCTAGTGACTCATCCTATGTGATGTATGAACATCTTGGCAGACTTTGTTATGGGTATATTGAGGTATTTGTTCGTGTTCAGTGTAATTGTGGTGAAGCAGTGAATCTCTGTGAGTGTGTTATTGGGCATTATGCTGTAATCCATCAAGTAAGATTAGTTGATGAATTTAGAATACCTTATCACCCGGGTTCGACACTAACTCACATTCGTAGATATGCTGATGCTAACTCGGTGATTGTTGTTCCTGTGTCAAGTCTAAAAACGGTTTGTGTGCACATGAATATTTTTGATAATATGTACATAGCAAGACCTCTAAATTCACATGAGGTGGAATAGCATTGAATTTT